TGGAGCAGTCCTCTCAGGGTTACCTGAGATCCTGTCTCCCGGGCTTGGAGTCCTAAAAATTCCCATAGAATAAAATGTAACTCTCAACTTTTAGGTTCTGGAAAACTCACACTTAAGGTCTCTTAAAATATCACTTCTCTCAATTTCTCTCTTTTCTCCTCCCAGAACTCTTGTAAGTTGTCGACATAGATGTCTGGGAGGAGAGAAGAGAGAAACTGAGAGAATATTTTAAGAGACATTAAGTATGAGTTTTTCAGAACTGATAAAACTACCAAGCATAGATTCAAGAAACACAGGTGCTAAACAGGATAAAGACAAACCTACCCCTAGAACAGAACGTGAACAAAAGAAAGACAGGGAAATCTGAAAAGTAGTGAGAAGGAGAACATATCCCAAGGAACAGGCAAGTCAAATGTCAGCAGACTTCTCAACAGCAACAAGGGAGTTTGTGGAAGAGTCCCTGAACTTCTGAAAGAAATGCCATTAAATTAAACGACCACTCAGTTAAACTCTGGCTCCAGAATAAGAAAAGAAAATGTAGTTTACCACAAACCTTTGCTGAGAGATCTAACATTTTCCCCTCAAGAAGAGCAAAGTTAAACCCAGGAGGAAGAGGGAGGTGATATAAGAGGCAGCCATAAGCAGAGACAGAGATTAAGCCATAAGCAGAGACAGAAGCAGAAGGAAGCATTAACTCTGTATTAGAACAATGACATGGTGACTATTGGGGGTATATTACAAAAAAGTGTGTACCAGATTGTCTTCAGACATCAAAGTTTAATTTCAGACACCAAAATATTAAAGAAAACCTGTATGGAAAGTGAAAGTGTTAGGGGAAGCATGCTGATTGAAACCGCCTACCCTGGCCAGGCACCGTAGTAATAGAATAGGTGGTGAGTGAGTGAGTGAGTGAGTGACCGAGCGAGTGTGTGAGTGAGTGAGAGTGAGTGAGTGAGTGAGTGTGAGTGAGTGAGTGAGTGAGTGTGTGTGTGTGTGTGTGTGTGTGTGTGTGTGTAATGAGGAACAGGGAGAACAGAGCTAAATCTTCCTTCTCCACAGTGGAAAGCTAGAGCCCCAAATCTTACAAAAAATGAAGGTGAACAGTGAAGTAGTCTGCCAAAAAAGATGAACTGGGTGACTGGAGAGAGGAATAGGGCAAGGCACTGTTTCATTAAAAAAACAACTTAAAAGAAAGAATATAAAAAATTTAAAAATTCAAAAACAATCTGTTGAATAAATCTTGCTGGCAACTTTCTGTACTAAGATGGCATCATACTTTTATCACACATTATTATTTTGTAAGGGTCTTATATGCTGACAATTTATCTTCTACAGTTTATTTTAGACGTATGACACTCATAACCCATTAAAACAACAATGACCTGAAGGCATTAATATTTTGCTCAAATGGAAATGTTCCCTATTTAATAAGTATTAGCTTTTATATAGTAATCACCTTAGAAAATTTCAAAAGTCTCTCATTGTATAAAAGCTCTTTTTAAGAAAGGATAAAAGGCATTTTGAGAATGATGAAATTATTTCATAAATAAAGGATTAATAGTGTATTTTAGGGGACAGTTCATATTAACCGACAAATTTAAATTTTCAAGGATATGCTAGTAATCAGAGAAGACAAATATCGTAAGATATCATTTATAGGTGGAATAAGATGATATAAATTAATTTATTTACAAAAGCAGACTCACAGTCTTTGAAAACAACTTTATGGTTATTAAAGGAGAAAGGGATGGGGACGGATAAATTAGGGAGTTTGGGATTAACATATAAACACTATATATAAAGTAGATAACTGGGACTTCCCTAGAGTTCCAGTAAAGACTCTGTGCTTCCAATGTAGGGGCTGCAGATTTGATCCCTGGTTGGGGAATTAGGATCCCTATGCCGCATGGTGTGGCCAAAAAATTTTTTTAACTAAAAAAATTAGATAATCAACAAGGACCTACTGTATAGCACAGAAAGCTCTACTCAATGTTCTATAATAACATGGGAAAATCATCTGAAAAACAGATTTATGTATAACTGAATCACTTTCATGAGAAACACTGGGCTGGAAGGAGCACAAGCTGGAATCAAGATTGCTGGGAGAAATATCAATAACCTCAGATATGCAGATGACACCACCCTTATGCCAGAAAGCAAAGAAGAACTAAAGAGCCTCTTGATGAAAGTGAAAGGAGAGTGAAAATGTTGGCTTAAAGCTCAACATTCAGAAAACTAAAATCATGGCATCTGGTCCCATCACTTCATGGCAAATAGATGGGGAAACAGTGGAAACAGCGGCTGATTTTATTTTTCCTGGGCTCCAAAATCACTGCAGATGGTGATTAAGCCATAAAATTAAAAGATACTTATTCCTTGGAAGGAAAGTTATGACCAACCTAGACAGCATATTGAAAAGCAGAGACATTACTTTGCCAACAAAGGTCCGTTTAGTCAAGGCTATGGTTTTTCCAGTGGTCGTGTATGGATGTGAGAGTTGGACTCTAAAGAAAGCTGAACACCGAAGAATTGATGCTTTTGAACTGTGGTGTTGGAGAAGACTCTTGGGAGTCCCTTGGACTGCAAGGAGATGCAACTGGTCCATCCTAAAGGAGATCAGTCCTGGGTGTTCATTGGAAGGACTGATGTTGAAGCTGAAACTCCAATACTTTGGCCACCTGATGCAAAGAGCTGACTCATTTGAAAAGACCCTGATGCTGGGAAAAATTGAGGGCAGGAGGAGAAGGGGATGACAGAGGATGAGATGGTTGGATGGCATCACCGACTCAATGAACATGGGTTTGGGTGGACTCCGGGAGTTGATGATGGACAGGGAGGCCTGGCGTGCTGCGGTTCATGGGATCGCAAAGTCAGACACGACAGAGCGAGTGAACTGACTCACTTTACTGTACACCTGAAACTAACATTCTCTCAAGATTCAAATATGAATTAAGGCATTATAATCAATGCATAACATTTCTAGTAATCAACACATTTTACATGTATGTATTTAGAAAGAAAAAACAAATTCTTTTAAAAAGGAAAAACATTAGTAAGTCCACACATGAGTTCAAGGAGGAAATATGGTCTTTGCCATTTAGTATAATCTTAGAGGTACTTTCTGTAATCCTCCCTCTCCTACCTTTAAGATGACAATTTAAAAAAATTCAAAAAAGGACAGACAAGAAATGGTGAAACAACTGAATGTCAGGAGGGGAAATTGACTCTGTAGGTTATATCTCTGTTGGGGCACTTTCATTTTTCAGGGAAGGATTGTGGGGGTCCTGTACTGGATGTCACCCTTCTCACGGGAGCCCCGGCTCTACAGAAGCTGAATCTCAGCACCAGGTCACCATGGCAGGAGAGGAAGAACAAGCTGGAACCTTGGCAGTGGCTGGTCTGTGTCCCAGGCGAAGCTCTTCTTTGGGGACTTCCAGCAATGACAGCACATGTGTGCAGGCAGAGGATAGTGAACAAAGCTGCAGTTTTAAAGGATCTAGAAGGGGCACCGTAGAAAAACCCTGGCCTACTGCTATCAACAGAACCTTTGTGTGGCCACAGACTGTGAAGGTCTGGTGATATCTGAGTCACAATTAAATACACATGAATCAAGGCTGTTCATTCAACAAGTTTTTACTGAGCACCTACTCTGTGCGCAGCACTGAACTAGGTGTCATGGAGAATACAAGAGAAGCAGAAGACGTGGTATCCGTCCTCGATGAGCTTACAAAACTAGAGGCAGAAATCAGAATGTACATGTGACTCAGGCAGCATGTGAAACATACAAAGAGCGCAACTTCAGACAATGTGGCAGCTAAGAGACCCTGAGATCCACAGCAGCTGGGAACAGTCTCCTAGAGCAGGGCAGGGGTTAAAATTAGTCAGCAGGAGATTGGCAGAATGCCTGGAATGGATAAGAATAAAGGCTGCGAGGTAATCTGGCTGGAGCACGAGCTTGTGCTAAACTGTGGGCACAAGCAGAGTCTGGACAGAGGCAGGGACTGGGGGTTGGGCCCATGGGCAATGAGGATATGCTCTGAAACCTCTCTTGACGTGCAGACCTGGTGGGTTGCTGGGGACCCCTGCTGCCCTTCTCACAGCCCCACTCCTAGGAAAATGGGACCTGGATATCGAGGGGAGCTATTGACAGAAGCTTAATATCCTGCTGCAGCACCCACCAGGGCTTCCAAGGCAGGGGAGGTTTTGTTTGACTGAATATTTGCCTTGGTGCTTCTATATGAACCAACCAAGAGCAGGGCATTCTGGATTCTTTAAGAGACTCTCCTCAGAAGGACCAACTCACAGAGATAATTTACCGACCACCGACCCCAGCTGATACCCCAAAGATGTATGTACCTAGATTCATTCCCCCTGAGACCACAGATGGCTTTAGGGAGCCCCGCCTCCTAGTGATGGAAACCTCAGCCCTGATCTCAGAGAAGCATGGACTTCACCCTGCACCTTACAAGGAGAGGCTTTCTATTTGCACTCTAGGTGGCTTAAATGACCTGGGACATTTTCATGTATACTTAACTCTGAGTTGGGGTGGCGGTAGGCGTGCTCAAAGTGCTGTGGAGGCAGGCAGCAGAAGGGGATTTGGGCAAAGCAGAAGCCATGGGATTGGAGGGCAGTAAAATGGCCTTGGGGGTAATAGTCAACTGGTCTTTCCCAAGAACAGCTGGCAAGGGATGCCATTTGGGGCTAGGGCGGGCAGAGCTGGGTCGAGGGCAGTGGGGGGGGAGGAGGGAGGAGCCCTTCTGGACTTCAGGGTCAGAAGTCAGCACAGGAACCCCGGAGCAGGAGAAGACCCCAGGGCAGGATGGATGGAAGAGCACTGAGAGAGGTCCCAGAGGGGCCGGGGCCACAGGGAGGGAACGGCAGCGGACATGGGGCCCCTTCCCTCCCTTCTCCAGGTGCTCTGGCAAGACACCTCCCCTCCTGTCACAGAGCCCAGAATTCCAAAGAGAAGCATCAGTGGGTGTGGGGCCAGGAGCTGGGGCTCAGGGTCTCAGCAGGAGGCGTGTTCCGGGCCACTTGAGCCACAGGAAGGGGAGCAGGCGCCGGGTGAAGGTGGCAGTGAAGGTGTAGATGAGTTCCTGTGACTCCGCGTTGGTGAAAGTCACGGTGCCCCCTTCGTAATCCAGGGCGATGCCCACTCTCCGGGGCCGCAGCGCTGGGAAGAGCTCAGCCTCGGGGCTGGTGTTGGCCCAGATGCCGGCGGAGGAGAGGCGCAGCGCCCACACGCCGTCCTCCGGCCGCAGGGAGAGGTCTCCCTTCCTCTTCACCGAGTCTCTGGCCACCCCCACCAGGCAGCTTTCCAGAACTTCCTCCTCCTCCTCCTCCGCTTCCTCCTCTTCATCCCCCAGCGACTCCTCGTCCTCGTCCGTCTCCCAGTCGTCGTATCCGTCCCCGTAGCCGGCCTCCTCTTCCTCCTCCTCCTCCTCCCCTTCTTCCGCCTCGTCCCCCTCGTCCTCATCCTCGGACCAGCCCTCCCTCTCCACCTCCACCTCCCAGTAGACCTTGCCCCAGGTGAAGCCCTTACTGCCCAGCACCCCCGGCTCACAGTCAAACTGCTGGGGGTGCAGGTAGGCGCCCTGGTACAGGCCGCTGTAGGTCACGCACTTCCAGTCCTCCGACAGCTGCAGGTACCCGCTGGCCGACTGTGGGTCCAGGGTGACGCTCACTGTGGGGACAGAGGAAGAAGCAACAGTGTCACCAGCAGGCCGGGAGGGGACCCCAGTCTCCACGGCAGGGGTGCCATGCTGCATGATCCAAGGAGTATGTGCCACACCTACGGCAGTGTGACCAGGCCCCTCGTGGGTCTGCGGTGAAGGCAGGGTCAAAGGGAGCACACGGTGGGGCCCAGGGCAGAGAGGTCTCTGGGCTTATGAAGCCACGGCAGCTTGCTGCGAACACAGGAGCCACGTGATCAGGCTGATGAGAAGGCAGTCAGTCACAGGGACTTAGTCAAAGGACTGGTGGCAGGACCTCCAAGGACAAAATAACCAACCTTGGGGCAGGAGGGGTCAGACTATCAAGTGGAGGCCTCTACTCCCGACTGAAGAGCAGCAGATAGGTCAGAAAAGACAAGGCGGGGGCTTCAGATGTGCAGCTGGGAAACTGCCCCTGCTGGACGAGAGGGCGGGCGATCGGGGGGGGCAAGACGCTGTGGGGAGAGTACTCTTTGTGATAAATCTGGGAACAACCTTTTGGATACTCACCGGTCTTATATTCTAAGTCTCTCAGCAGCTTCCCTAGAGAGGAAAAATGGGACAGCAATGACCCTTGAGCTCAGCAAACTTAGGAGCCTATTTCTCACTCAAATAGTACTAATTTTGTGCCAAGGGCCTATCTGTGAAGAAAACGGAGAAAGAAAACCCCAGGAGACCTCAGAGGAATGAGGTCAGAGACACACAGTAAGGAGCCAGGTACCCTCTTCTCAAAGCAGCACCCCAGTCCTGATCCCACCCCAAGACCCTCCCCAACCCTTACCCTGGAATTCTCGTAGGCCTCGCTGCAGAGACTGAAGTTTATCTGAGAATTCTCCTGTCTTTTTTTTAACTACTCGAGCAATGGGTTTCCCAATCCAGAACTTCTTCCGTGGATACCTGAGATGACAGACAAACCTGTTACTTAGCTCCTCTTACACTTCTCTCAATCTTTGTGACAATTTATGAAAGAGGAGGGAAAGGTATGATTATCCCAGGTAACAGAGAAACAGGCCCTCAAAGGTACTCAGTCCAAGGCTGAACCAGGATTTACGACCACCAGCAGACTCAACATCCAGAGCTCTTTTTTCTACCAAGGTGTGTCCTCACACCATCCTGTCCCGTCTCAGACAAGGCTAGTGGGCCCAGGAGTGGAGATTATACAGAGAACTTGCTCTGGTACAGACCAAGTCTCCACCAGTTCTCAAAGATGTGTACTTGCTTCCATGAGACAAGGTCATTGTGATGAACCCTGGGATGTGGGTACCTCTGACCCCATATCACATGCCACTAATTTGGATCATGGCCAAGGAACAGGGGAAGGGACACGGGCACAAGGGAATGAGGTGCACTGTGAAAACAAAACTCTGTTACCTGTTTACAAAGTCTCTGGTGTCCTGGAAGGGAAGAAAGCACAAGCATCAGTGTGAATTAAAGAAGACTTCGTTCATATGTATCAACACTATTAGAGACCAGGCTGCATCAATGAACAAATACCGTTTTTTCCTTATGAAGCTGACATTCTCGCAGCAGCAAAGGATAAAACAAAAAGAAAACAAACAAAATAATCACAATGACAGAGCAAATGGAGGGGGGCCAGGGGATGACTGAGCCAATTTCTCTGAGAGGATGACACCTGTGCTCAGATGTGAAGGAGAAGGTACTGGCCAGGTGAAGAGTGGGAGGAAAGCAGGGTGAGAAAGGGCTTGGCAAAGGTGGCAGGGGCCGAATCATGCAGGGCTGGGCAGGCACAGTTAGGAGTTCAAATTCTGTGCCACATTCAGAAGCAAGCCACCAAAGAGTTTCAAATAGGGCAGTGATTGTATGTGATCTGCTTCACAGTGGCTGAGACGGCTAACAACCCTCCAGAATTTATTCTCCCCTTCTTCCTTGTAGTAATAGAATCTGTGAAATAACGCTGGGCAGAGCGTTACCAAAAACTACATTTCCCAGATCCCTTTGCAACCAGGTATGGTCATGTGACTAAGTTCCAGCCAGTGGGATATAAAAGGAAGCAATGGCTATAATTTGGGGATTATGTCCTTAAAAAAAAAAAATTCCATTCTTCTTCCCCTTTTTGCTTGGCTCAGTTTTGAAAACAAGGGTGAGCCCAACTTCGGCTACAGAGCTGAGGACAACATCCCTTGAGGTTGGTAAAGCCACCAGACGGAAGTAACCAGCTCCCTGGCTGACCATGTGGACAGCTGCCCTGACAGCTCTAGACCCCTCATGTCTGAACTGTCACTGGCAGAAAAGTAACTTGTTTGGTATAGTAGCTAGCCAAAATCCTAAGGGATTAAGCACTTGGCCATCCTGTACAGAATGGATTGATTAAGAGAGATAATGCCAACATGGGGGAGCAGTCTGGAGACTGGTTTGTGGACCGGCAAGAGTAACGATGCCCTGACTAGGGCAGTACAGTGTGGCCAGGGAGGCAGCACATGCCAGGTGTGAGACAGACTGGACATACTGGTAAAGAACAACTAAGGACAGGCCACAGTTTGCGCAGGATGGAGAATGGTGCTACCTGGGTGACAGGACATGGTAGAATGGGGAGGGGGTTCTTGTGAGACGCTGGTTATTTTCTTTTTGTGAGTCTAAAGCCTCCATAACACTTGATGGTAATTTTTGCCTTCCTTTCACTAATTCCACAAATATTAAGTGCTTCCTGTGTGTCAGGTGCCATTCTAGAAGTGGGGATAGAGCAAGAAAAAAAAGAGACACAAAGCTCTTAACAGGGGGAAGCAGACAGCAAAGAGTCAACCTAACAAATCCATTAAATGATGCCATTAAGTGATGGGTGCTATAGGAAGAGAGTAACCTGGAGGGGGACTGGGTAAGGGTGGGGGCAGAGTAACCTCTGAGAGAGTGAAATTCGAGAAACAAATGAAATCACCGAGTTGTGCCTACAGCGGACTGTTTCAGCAAATTTCAGGAAGAACTTGGGGTCTTGCTCCCGAGAGGCCATCAAACAGGTCAGAGCTACATCGATGTGCCACTGTGAAGCAACTGCCCAGAGACTTGTTGCCCTTCTCCTTGGTCCCTCAAAACAAGTCCAAGCCAGTTCCAGACTGGTGATAAATCTGAGACAGTATATGCCAACAACTCTGCCAGGAAAGTGAAAGTGAAAGTTGCTCAGTCGTGTCCAACTCTTTGCGACCCCATGAACTATACATCCCATGGAATTCTCTAAACCAGAATACTGGAGTGGGTAGCCTTTTCCTTCTCCAGGGGATCTTCCCAACCCAGGGATTGAACCTACGTCTCCCACATTACAGGAGAATTCTTTACCAGCTGAGCCACAAGGGATACTGGCATAAAAAGGCAAATAAATGGGCAGTAGGTGGGCAGGATTAGGGAGCTAAGAGGGTGGACTGAGACACAGGAGTTGCTACTGGAGTCTCACAGAGAGAGACTGAGGCTCATCTAAGGGCAGGCTGTGAGCCGCCCAGAGAGGATGGGATCCAGAGCGCCAGTGCAGGAACGCTTCTCCCAAAGGCCGCCCAAGGGGAGACCTGGGAGTCCTGAGATGACCTGCAGCCTCACACCCGGGGCCTCCACAGGGAAGCAACCTGCCCAAGGCTCCTGGAGGGCCCCCAACCCCTACCTCCAACTCCTGGGGCTGTGGTGAAAGAGGCAGTCAGAGCAGCAAGCCTAGGGCAGGAATCACAGCAATGCTGGGTAGTAAGAACCTGAAGGTTCTTCATGGATGTGGATGGCGCCCACAGTGGAAGGCAGAGTCGCCAATTGCCACTCGACCCTGCAAGGCCCACCCTGGGCTGAACTGAGGAGCTGGTTCCTGGTCCCCTCCAGAGGTGCTCCCCCCTCCCCTAGCTCCCTTAAACCTCCTCCTGACAGTGATGCTCCAGAGATCTTTCCTATCACCTTTGTCAAAAGGCCTCTGTATTTATCTCCTGTCCTGCTGCTTCTCCCTCACCTGTATTTCTTTACCAGATTTTGGATCAGGACCCCCATCTTAGTAGGGCCTCATCCTTACTGTCCACTGACAGTCTATCTCCGGAGAAATACTAACACCAGGACAGGAGTTAGCTGTCCCGCTTCCTTCAGCAAAGGCAGACCCAAACCCGCAGAGAGAAACCCCACGAGCGCCACACTCCCGCGCTGACCTCCAGCAGACACCCACTTTCTCTCCCTCCCTCCTCCCACCCGGCCCCAGGGGTGCCTTCTATCTGAGTGGTCTCAGAGGCGCTGAAGGCTGGGCCTCTGTCGGTCCACAAAGCTCTTCCAGGTGGACTGGGGAGAAGCTCCCCTCTGGGCAGACGCAACCGGATCCCCGCCCGTGTCCCTCTCTGGTCCACAAGTGCACACCCACACGGTGGCCGTGGCTGGGGCTGTGGGGAGAGGAAGGATGTGCACCCCTGAAGGGGAGGGAGAGGGGAGACAGCAAGTGATCTAGTCAGAGTCAGAGAAAGAAACCTGAGGGAACAGAATGACGGAGGAGGAAAGGAAGGAGCCAGAGAGACATTCTGGACAAAGTTGAGAGAAAAGAAGAGCAAAAGGCCGGAGGCCTGGGAGTCAGGACACTGGGGCTGGAGCTCTGACTCACTTCCTGATCTGCCTCACGGCCTGGGACAAACTCTTCCACCCGCTGGTCCTCTGAGACTTCATCACTGAGGGCTGGAGTGGAAGAGTTCCCAATGCTTGAGTCAGAATCCACAACGACAGAGAGGCAGGCGGAGGCACATGTACCTGGGGGCCTCGCCATCTCCCCTGACATCCCGCCACCGACTTGCCCTGCCACAGCCCAGGGCCAGTGTTTCCCTAGACGTCCTGGGTGGTCCCGCTGCCGACAGACAGGCCAGCCACCCCCCACCATGCAAGTGGAGGAGCTCATTACACAGGCCGTCTCTTGGCCTGTGGGCTGGGGGGCAGAGGGATCACACATGATCCACCCAAAGGCAGTTCAAAGCCCTGTTCCAGGCAGTGTGACTCCTGTGAGAGGCTCCTGGTGGAAGGGGTTGTGGTGTCATTTCAACTCAGCAACCATCCATGACTCCAACCCATGACCCTCCCTTCTTCAGCATCAAAGCTGCCTTCTCCAGCAGGTGCCCCAGAGGCACCCTGCCAGCTCACCACCTGATTCTCTGAGGCTGATGCCACAGGCCCAGAGAAAACCTCTGTCTTCTGACTCCCTTCCCCAGCTGCCCATCTCCTCCAGATCCTCTGGGTTCTTAAGAGAAGCCACCGTTCAGCCGTCCCTCAGCCACCCCCGACCCCACAGGCTTCTTCATCTCCAGAACCATAAAAAGCCTGCCCTAGACCAGCGTCTGCCAGTAACTTGTTAGAAGACAGGCTCATGACGGCAGTGATGAGAATGGAGGATAGTCATGAAAATACTAACAAGCTTCCCTTCCATTTCTACAGCACTTCTCAAGACTGTAAACTCTTGCTCGTAAAAAGTTTACTTTTTGAAGTGACACCATGCTAATTGTCTCATTTTACGCTCATGCAATCGCTACAGTGAGTGGTGGGGATAAGGAGCATCGTCTCCATGCTTCAGATAAGAAAACCAAGGCCCTGGGAAGAAGAGACTCTCCAAGGTCCCGTGAGGGAGAGGCAGGGCCATGCCTGCCGTCCTGGTCTCCTGGCTCCCTGCCCCAGGGAGGTCGCTCACCTGCATGAGCTCTGCAGCCGGCTGCTGCGCCTTGCCCTCCAGCTCGGAGATGACCTGCGCCAGCCGGGCAAGCTCCCCGACGCCCCTGGTCTTGAACTTCTCCCTGCCCTCTGTGAGCTCCTGCTCCAGCTTCGCCAGCTGGCCCAGCAGGTGCTGCTCCCGCTCCCTCAGGAACTGGTGGCCCTGCTCAAACTCAGCCACGATGCACTGCCTCTGGTCCTGGAGCTTCTTCTGCAGGGGTGGGAAGGGGGAGAAGGGGGTGACATCTCTGCCCCGGAGGGGAAGACCCCTCCAGGATCTGGTGTGGGGGAGAAGGGGGTGACATCTCTGCCCCGGAGGGGAAGACCCCTCCAGGATCTGGTGTGGGGGTGCACACGCTGGATCTTTCACCCCTCGCTAACCCCATTCATGAGTTCTACAGTGTCCGGGCTGGAAGTGGCTTTGGAGCCTTCCTGGGGCAACCTCCTTTCCTCAGGGAAAACATGGTAAGTCAGTCAAGTCAGTTCCCTCATGGGACTGGAAGCCTGAGTGCCTGCCATCATCAGCTGTTCTAGGTAAACCAGTATGTTCCGGGGCCCTCTGAGCAACACTGTAAGCCAACACAGTTTCCAACTGGCGTGTGCTTGCCTCTTCCAGGATGTTTCCCTTGATTAATTTTATTCAAGCCTGACTAACCCTCTCTTCAGCATCCTCCCCAGTATGTGTAAAATATCTGCATGCACACTATCCTTGCCACACAGGACTATCTCCTCTTTCCTCAGTGAAACTCTGGAATGTCTACAACCAGGGTAATGTCCTTTCTTGTCTCCAAGTCTCCCTGCTGAGTCCAGGCTGGGACCTGGTCAGCATCCCCGCACACTGGGCGCCTGGAGGCACTGCCCGGGTTGGGCCGTCTCCTGCCTCACCGTCCCTCTCCCGGGGCCCACCTGCTCACCGCAAGGACTGGCCCCAACATCCCTCCACCCTCCAGTGTCTGCTTCCCTAACAGACTTTCCCCAGAAAACTGGAATCTCTATCAGTTTTTTCCCTTCCTGATCGCCTCTCTAACCAAGCACTCAATGCGCTGCCTGTTTCCTAACTACTGGTAACCATGGACTCACTACACACAGCATCCTCAGAGCTAGTCACGCCTGGCAAAGCCCACCCCTCTCAGTTCTCTTCTTGGAGCCAGTTCCCTCCTTCCAAACCCTCTGGCTTCCCTCCCTCTCAGGAATAATGTCTCTCTTCCGCTTTTGTAAGGAAGGACGAAGCCAGGCCTTCCTCAGATCCTCACACCCTGACTCTGCTGAGCAAACAGGCCCGGCAGCTGAGGTGAATCACAGAAGGACCTTAGCCAACATCCAGGCAACGCCCTCACTTGTGAGATGAGGAAGCAGGTCAAGCCCGCAGACCTTGGACTGGCAGGGCGTGGGCCAAAACCCAGGTCTCCCGCTGCCAGTCCGGTCGGGACTCCTCTCCCAGGGAGCCAGCGGCCTCCCACCCATGTCTCTACAAGCTCAGGAGCTCCTGCTCCGCGCGGCAGATCGCCTGACTCAGGGCTCTCTCTCCCTCGACAGCCTCACTTACCAGCGCAGCCAGGATATCAGCTTCGCCCTTGGCCTGAAAGCCCTGAATTTTGTCTCTGTCTCTCCTTAGGGTACTCAGGTGGTTCAGGATTTTTTCCTGCAGAAAGACAAGCAGTGGGGATGCTCTGGGCTGAGGCAGGAGGGTGGGCTCGGGCCGAGTCCCTGGCCAGCGAGAAGCCTTCCGAGGGGCCTGCGCCAGGCCTCGCCTCCGGGTGGGCGCCGAGCAGAGCATCCCTCCCTGCAGGGGAGCGGAGGGCTTACCCTGTGGGGCTGGGCCGCCTTCTCCACCAGGACAGCCGAGTGCGGCCTGTGCTCCCGGGACTCCCGGCACATGACGCACAGCAGCTTGCCGTCGTCCTCGCAGTAGTAGTGCAGCTTCTCCCGGTGCCGCTCGCACAGCCTCGCGTCCGCCTGCTCCTGGGCCGCCTCCCCCGGCTGCCGGCCCCTGTCCACCTTCAGCCGCTCAATGTTCTCCACCAGGCTGGCCAGCTGCCACACTGGCCGGATATTCTCCTTCTTAAAAGGCTTCTTGCACAGGGGGCAGACGGAGCGGCCCCCTGAGACGGAGCGGATGTCAGTGGTACAGCTGCGGCAGAAGACGTGGCCACAGTCAATGGTCACTGGGTCCCGCAGGTAATCGAGGCAGATGGAGCAGGTCACCTCCTCTTCCAGACTCCGCAGCGGTGCCGACGCGGCCATGGTGTCCCGAGCTCAGAGGGGCCCTGTTCACCGGCTGGGACTTCTCCTCCTTGGGGACCAGACACGGAGTCAACAGCAGGCCCAGCAGAGGGGCAGGAGTGGCAGCCTCACATGGGGCTACCCGCCCAAGCAATCGACCAGTCAATCGCAGCTCCTATGAGGCTCCCCCAGAATCAGAGGGAAAGGACCTTACTGATCCTCAAGTCCAACACCCTCATTTTACAGACGAGGAAACTGAGGCCCAGAGTGTGTAGCTTGGAAGAAGGGAGAGCAGCGCAGGTACCAGCCCATGCCGTACTCTTGGGAACACACTCCTACCTCAAGACCCTTTCCTTCCATCTGCTGGAAAATTGCTCTAAAGTACCAATTATGAGAGAACAAGACACCAGATAACTACCTGCTGAACTGTCGTAATATACAAATCCACAACACCTACTATGTGCAGTGCTCCCTGACTTGTGCAGTGCATGGGCTGCACAACTGTTCACGAGGGGCCTTGACAGAGTCTAGAGACTCCTTTGTTTGCCCTGCAGACTTCAGGTTTCAAAGACTAAGTGCATTGAGGTTCTTTACTGAGACTCAAGGAGCATCAAGACTTGAGTTCAGGTGTCCTCCTTTACAGATGTTTCCTTGGGCTGTGTGAGTTTTTGACAGTTCACTTGCCCTAGAGAGTTGGTCCCTACCTACTCAGTCTACTGGCAGAGCACCGCAGGGCCACAGTGGACTCGTTCTCAGCTGTGCCCCTCCATGCAGCGGGCCTGGCAGCTCTCCTACTAACAGGAGGCTGACTGAAACCAACGTGGGAGGAACCTTCAGGTGGTTCTGACAGGGATGTGTGGATGAGAGCATGGCTCTCAGAGGGAGCACAGAAGTTGAGCACAGAGGACTTTAGTCCTGTTTACCTCTGTAGCCCTGGTACACTTCCAGTCTGAGGTTAGAAGCCTCAGCACACCTAAACCAACAGCTGCCTCCTGCCCTTACACTGTGAGACAAGAGAAAACTCATTTAAGTACTCTGAGCCTCAGTTTATCCATCCATAAAATGGGGAGAGTCATACTTACCTTCAAGGGTTTCTACATGGGTTGAGTAAAAGAATTATGCTAAAAGTATTAGGCATAAGCATGGTATTGAGGGGAAATCTAGAAGAGAATCCAGAACCCTTGGCTCCCAAATCCAGTGAGTATTCAAAGCACAAGTAAAGCAAGAGTGGAAATTTAAAGTGGCAGCAAGAGAGGAAGTAAGGCTGAAATGCCACGGTGACACATGGGCTCCAGAGTTAAAGTCTCATGGGGTGGAGGCCCACGGTAGGCCACTGGAGCAGTGTGGGAAGACAGCCAGCAGACAGGGCGCGCAGGTAACTGCCAGGCTGGAATGAAGCCCTTGGAACCACAGGCAAATCAACCTGATTACTTATTATGTATGTGAAAGTCCATTACAACAGAGTTCAGTGGCCTTCAATTTCTTTCACTGTAGTGACATGAATGAGCTAGAAATACAGCCCCAAAGAGAAAACAACATAGGAATACAAAGTCTACTTCTTGACAATCTAATGCAGCAATATATAAAAAGTGCTTTATAAAGTGAAAGTACTGTACAAATGTAAGGGATTATTTTACTACTGACAATGAACTCCAACCAGAAGCTCCAACAGATTTAGAGATGTGTGACTTTAAGAGATGTAACGGGTGTGGCAAAGACCTGTACCTACAAAGCTCAAATGATTATAAAGAATTTAACTGGTAAATGCAGGTAATAAAGTTTTTAGAATGTTAATAAGAATGGTAAAAAGTCTAGGATTGCCTGGTGCAACTCCCTGGTTTGTCTGTTGAGGAAGTGAGCCTAACCCAGCACTCGGAAATGTAACACAAGGTTCAGTTCAGTTGCTCAGTCTTCTGACTCTCTGCGACCTCATGAACTGCAGCACACCAGGCTTCCCTGTCCATCACTAACTCCTGGGGCTTGCTCAAACTCACATCCATCAAGTTGGTGATGCCATCCAGACACCTCATCCTCTGTCATCCCAACACAAGGTTGGGACCGGTGGGCGGCAGTGTTGGTGATTCCTGTGGGCACTGGAGCCCTTCACCAATCACTTTGCTAGGAGCTTGAAAGTTCAAAGGTTGAGGTTATTTGTTTCTTTTGTTGTAATGGGGGATGGCATGTGTTTATCGTTAGGGCTGGGAAATTAATTCTGTTGCAAATGACCAGATGAATAAAAGGACTATGAAGAGCTCAGCTATGGCTCCCAGTCCACACAAAACCTGATATCCTCATCACTTGGAGCAGGGGTTCTTAACCCAGGCTCCATGCTGGACTTTGATGGATCTTTAAATCCCCAACATTATATGAATGATCGCATATGTACTATATGAACAAACCTGTCCAGGGATTATGGAAGGACACCAGTGAAAAAGTGTAGAAGGGATAACAGAATTAGAAAAACATCATCTTGCAACCCCCACTATATAAGACAAGGATCATCATCTGATGCTAAAACCATGAGATGAAAGGTACTAGGGGACAGGACAGTTCCATGGTGCCACGGTACGGCCCAGTGGGTTACTCCCTAATGTATCTTGATAAGGGAGATCCGGTGATGGCTTTAGCCAGTGACCAAATCCAGCATCGCTAATAAAGGGACAGACTGGCATATGTTTCTCAGTGTGGTGCCATAGGAATGTACAATGTCACCTTTGCAGTAGCCCTACCAAAAATGTTTGACGAGAATGAATCAAATCTTTCGACCTACCTTTCAGTTTACCAAAAATACAAGGGATAGAGATGAGCTATAAACCACATCATCATGAAATAATCAGATAAATCGAGAACATGAAACATTCCCCAAGACAACTGGCATGGTCTTCTAAAAAGTCAAGCTATGAAAAATAAAGCAGGATTGTTCTTGATATAAATAGACTAAAGGGAAATAACAACCAAATGCAAATACTTTGATTGGATTTTGGCTTTTTAAAAAAGTTATAGAACAATTTGGGGACAATTAGAGGAAACTGACTAAAGACTGGGTATTGGATCATATTGAGAAACTGTTATTGATTTTTAATGGCATTTATTAAAGTTATGTATGAGAATGTCCGTATTTTTAGGCTATGCATGCTGCAGGGTTTAGGACTGCACAGGGGCTTTCCAGGTGTTGCTAGTGGTAAAGAACCCGCCCGCCAATACAGGAGACATAAGAGATGTGGGTTCGATCCCTGGGTCAGGAAGATCCCCTGGAGTAGGAAATGGTAACCCACTTCAGTATTCTTACCTGAAAAATTCCATTGACAGAGGAGCCTAGTGGCCTACAATCAACCCATGGGGTCACAAAGAGTTGGACACAACTTGGTGACTGAGTACTCACGCACATATATAATATAATACCACTACAACTTACTTTTAAATAATTCAACAAGAAAAAATAAAAGTCAGAAAAATTCTAAGGAGAGGGGCTAGAATTTTCCATCCTTCTTAAAATAATCTGTACAAGGGTCTGGTAACTACCAAAGACCCTGAAAATCATAAGAGAGAGATTTTTGTGTTGATACTAGTAGAAGCTCAAGACACAGGTGTTGAACAAACAATCAAATTCAGAGGACCGGAAGGCAATGCTAATTGCATATGCATTTGTGTGACAGTGTGCTGAAACTAATAAAAGAAACATGGTACATTTCTATGTTCAATCCCATTGCTTCATTACATAGGCTCCATTGCAAATGCATAACAAATATTGAAGAAAGCTTACTCTGGCATCGCTGAAAACATGTAGATCCAAGGTGTAAATCTTGGATTTGAATCCAGGTTCAGGTTTGGGTTCAACAGCCTGGTGACTGTCAACTTCTAGGTGACAGTATTTCTGTAGGACCCACCTTACTGGCCATTTACACACCTCACGTTATTTAACGCTCAGGATACTCTTCTCAGGAAACTGAGGTTCACAGAGGGAAGCAACCTGCCCAAGAGCACGTGGCAAGGATGCAGTGTCTGGTGCTGACGCCTCGGCCCAGTCCACTATGCTCTCTTGTTCACCCAGGCAAACTGCAAAACTGGCCCTAATACCAGCTCCTTTGTCAGGAGGCTCCAATCAGGTCATCTCAATGGAAGGGCTTTGTAAACCGGAGTGTGCTGACAGAAGTCAAGAGGCACGTGTTACTGCTGACGCCAAGTGAAAAACACCCTCCCCTTACATTCGACAGGCAGTGCGCTTCCTGAATGAGATGCGGGTGGACCTGAACACCTACCTACTCACACCTCACACCCAGCCCTTTCAAGCCAATGCAAAACTGACCCTCTCGCAAACCCCTCCCTAGCTTATCACGCTCCCCTGTGAATCTGCCCCTTCTATCACTTGTGCCTTCAACACAGCCTGATGATCTCAACAGGTTTGCACAGTAAGGGGTAAAACTATCACTCTCCTTGCCATTCCTAGCTCTTGGGTGGACAGAAACCATAGAAACAAGAGCCAGCAAAAGTCTTCGCAATGACATGGTCCACCCTACTCCCTTTACCCAAGCGAGAATCCTGAAACCTGAGGAAGTCATTTCATGAATTACCTTCTACCAGCAGCCATTCACCTCTGCTCAGGGTGGACAGGTCCTCTGACCCTTCAATAAACCGGAAGCTGGCTGTGATTCCACCAAACCAGGTAGAACTGGAGACATCAGCGTTTTTACTGTGCAACATAAAGTCACTGCTGAGATCAAGAGTCACCAAATTGGTTTCTTTTGACAATTGGCTATTATGCAGGAAAAATCCAGTTTACCAAATTTAGTTTCTTCAAGATCATAAATGGAGTCAGTGAAATCAACAACTATGGGTTAGTGAGATTGAGACAGTCTTACCATTCAATCTCCAGAGGCAGAAGGGCCTTAAGCCACCAGTTAGGGAGTCAAATTTGAGTTACCTATGTCATCAGACATTTGCATCTTTCAAATGTGGTCAATGACATGCCATAATATAACTGGCAAAGATATCTTCTATGTGAAACATAAAATAATGGATGACATCTTAGATTTGATGAAACGTAGCATATCCTGTATAAAGTGCTGCCAGGGTCATCCAACATGTGCAGTTCATCCTGTCACCCTCCTGCTTCAAAGCTCCTGAGGTCAAAGCTGTATTGCAGGACACACAGGCCCCCTATAATCCGGGCCCCAACTAGCCCTGAATCCTGCTTCAGCCTAATGTTAGAGACAGTGCGCCAGAAAGACAGCCCCTTCTTCACCACCCCTACTCCCCACCCCAAGCTCCTGTAAATGAGTTTGTCAGCTCCAGCTCATCCTTGAAAGCCTGCATTAGATATGCCCCAGTATCTGTGGTCCTTCTAGTGACCATCCCACCTCTGAGCTGAATGAATTCCCTCCCTCAGGAAGCTCCTACAGATGCTGTTATTATAGCTACAATCACACTGCTTCCTAATTGATATTTTTACCCATCTTTCTCCGAATCAGGATGTGAACCCAAGGGTCATGTCTCACTGATCTTTCCATATCTTCAATATCAGACACAAAATCTGTAAATGTTTGTGAGGCTAAATGCTATCCTATGATTCCAGAGTCCCGTATCTTCTTCATTCTCCCGTCACCATACTTCCCTTCCCACTTTGCAATCTCATTTCAGCAGGAGACTCCAAGGGCTCCCCTCCGATTATAGACACTCCTGGCCACAAACATTGCCCAGATCTCCTCTCTTCACGCATATAGTTTGGGAGTTGCGGGGGTGGGGAGGGTCACTGCACTTCTACCAACCTGGCAAATCTGAACTCACTCTGAGTGAGTGAGTGTTAGTTGCTCAGTAGTGTCCAATTCTTTGCTACCCCATGGACTGTAGCCCACCAGGCTCCTCTGTCCATGGAATTATCTAGGCAAGAATACTGGAGTGCATTGCCATTTCCTTTTCCAAGGGATCTTCCTGACCCAGGGATCAAACTGGGGTCTCCCACAGTGCAGGCAGATTCTTTCATCCTGGATGCCAGCCAAATTAAGCCTTTGCTTTCCAAAATTAATTTCTTTCCATTCTCCATGCCTTTTTCTATTCAGAGCCTAGTCTGAAGTCACCCCAAGAAGCCTCGATTCCAACTATGGGCTCTCGACTGCAGTTGCAAGGTCTTCTGCAGTAGTTTGAGCCCAGCCGTCACTCCATCCCCACTTTGGAGGAAGTGACATCTAAGAAGCCACTTTCTGCTTCTCAGTTTCCTGACCACTTAACAAGAAAGAATAATGTCAAGTTTGCCAAACTGACTTCAAGCGAGGTCACACAAGTGAAAAGTGTTCTCAACAGCAAAATACACTATAAACATACATTCTAGAAAGGAGCAGAGAAGCCAACCGAAAAGAGCTCCCAGTGGTTAAAGTTGCAACAAAATGAAGTAGTACTGAATTATAACCCTGAGTATAAAATAAATATCCATGAGTCCACACTGATACGAATAAATGAATAACTTAATAAATAAGGCAAAAGAGACAAATCTCTCATGCAGAAGAATTGCAAAATAACACAGGTACAGAGTTGCCCTTGAGGAGGGTGGCGCATACTCCTCTGCACAGGGTCTGACTACTTTCCAAAGAGTACAGTATGGAAGGGAGGAGTGGGCGAGGGGGGAGGAGAAAGTTTACGATGGAGAAGCCTGACAAGCACTACCTCAGCCAGGTAATCAAGAGCAGCATCAAGTCATAAAGCATGTTCTCTTGATGTGAAGCGATGAAAATGGCAATCTACCTCTGTGGTCTTCCTCCCAATAACCCGTAAGCCAGTGTTAGGAGCAGCCTATAATATAACATAATATAATATATATGGGGAGTATTCCTCCAAACTCTCAAGATTATTAAAAAAAAGTCTCAGAAACTGCCACAGCCAAGGGGAGCATGTAGTAGTAGTGCTGAGGTCGCTGCGTCGTGTCCGACTCTTTGCGATCCCATGGACTATAGCCTACCAGGCTTCTCTGTCCATGGGATTTTCTAGGCAAGAGTACTGGAGTGAGTGGGTTGCCATTTTCTTCGCCAGGGGATCTTCCCGACCCAGGGATCGAACCCACATCTTCCGAACTGCAGACACTTTACCCTCTGAGCCACCCAGAGCATAATGAGAACTAATTGGAATATGGTAACTTGGGTAGAATCATGAGACAAAAAAAGTACTTGGGTAAAAACTATGAAAATGTGAATTCTATGTATGTCGGCCAATAATAACGTATCAGTACAGGTTCACTAATCGTAAGAAATGTTCCGTATTAATGTAAGATGTTAATAAATGAATAGGGGAAAGGTTTGGGGGTACTGGGAACTCTGTACTAGCTTCCCAATTTTTCTATAAATCTAAAACTGTTCTAAAAAATAAAGACTATTTTAAAAAACGGAATTGCAATTTGAGGTACAAAACAAAGTCAATTTTTTAAAAAACTGATTCTTTTAAACTTGGGGCAGAGGTAACTCTAGGAATTATGATTTTTAGCTCAGGGTCCCTGACACTGATATTTGTTGTTGAATGAACCAATATCATTCTCAGGAAGCGCACACAAACCGTCGCAGTGCCAAACTCTGGAATGTACTGGGAATTTGGAGGTGTTAGCTTCTCATTTGTTCCACAAAGATAAACTTACACATTTTTCTAAGGGTGAAAAGCAGCAGGGAAAATGCTAAATTGCTAATGGGCCAGAGGAAGGAGTGAAGGCAAAGCTCCAGCTATACGTGGCTAAACCGGTTTATTCTGACCAATTAAACAAACAAAACAAAAAATACCATGACTTTGGTTCTAGGGCCAGACTGGCAGTTTGCACGGCCCCAAGCAACGAGACCGTCATCTGGGCCCCATTACTTCTGGCTCTGGAGACAAGAATGGATGGGTGCCCGAGCTGGACACGCGAAAGCGAGGAAGACCCACGAGGAGACAGCGAATGGAGGCCCAAGCCAAGCAGGAGGATTAGGCCGGGAGGGAGGACGGCGCGAACTTCACCCTTCTCCCGAGCGCGCCCGGCGGCCCGGCCCCATTCTGCCCGCGCGGCCGCCGCTCGGACCGGGGCGCGTGTGTGACTGCTGCTCTGCAGCATTCCTCACCTGGCAGCCCGTACTCACCGGTCCCCAGCTCCGGGCCGCGAATCCCGAGCTGGGGTCGATCTTTTCCGCTGGGGTCGATCTTTTCCGCAGCGGTCAGTTCCGGGTCGTGTTCCTCCGCCAGCACCCAGGGCGACGGCGCGTCCCCGCCCGGTAATCTCCCGGCTTTTCGGAGCCCTCCACCGAGATTTCCCCCCGGACCAGCACCCGGATTGGTCGCTGCTGAATGCCTCCTCCCAATGGGAGCCTTAGTTCCCTTACGTCACTGATCACTGGGCAAATCCCCGGGCCGTCGCGGGGGGTGGGACAGCAGGGGCAGAGAAACCGAAACTGAAATGCTGCGGAGCCTAGGTTTAGCGCCTGCTGTATTCTGAGTTTGGCGCGTCGTGCGCGCACCTGCGCTGCAGGATGGACGGAGGCGAAACTTAAGGGCTCATGAGACCCCTTTGTAGGACTCTGCAATGGGTAAAACCCTCCCCGCCTCCCGATTGCCGCCCCACCGGGAGGGCGTTTGGCATCCAAGTGGTGTTTGCCAGGTGCTCAACATTAAATAGGACTCCCTGATCCTAAAGCTTCCCGGGTGGCTCAGAGGGTAAAGCGTCTGCCCGCAATGCGGGAGACCTGGGTTCGATCCCCTGGTAGACTACAATCAATGACATCAGAAAGAGTTGTATGCGACTGAGCAACTGCACTTCCCTGACCCAATCTGGCCTAGATTTGCTTCCTGGACCAGACAGGATCTTAGCAAACAGATAGTCTCAGGGGGCTATTTACAAAAATTAACTACTGTTTCCGAGGTGACTACGAGGATTAAGGCGCTTTACATAAACTATCTCTAAACCAGGCAGGCATTTTTGTCCCCATTTGACAGAAGGGAAAACTGAGATCCCAAGAGCTTAGGGGCCTGGGCTGTTTCCCTCTTGGGTGCTGGATTCAGAAACCACAGAGCCTGAAAAACGGACGGGCATTCAGGGTCCCAGGATCCTTGGTGGGGAGATTTCCTAGCAGCTCATGCAAGTCCACCCCCGCGCCAGGCGGGGAAGCTGACCAGCCCCAGTGTCCGGGCGGCTCGCTCCACTGCTGTGAAGCGACTCGTATGCAGTCGTTACTCTGTCCCAGGCACAATCTCCCCTGGGCCGGCGGGACAGTCACCGCGGTCAGCACATAGGCCCTCCAACTACCTACTCTTTTAGTTAGTGTTTTGGAAGACATGTTTAAAATGTTCCTTAAATGATTTCATGCTACTTATTTGTCCTCTCCCTGTCTCTAGGACTTCCCTGGTGGTTCAGACGGTGAAGCGTCTACCCACAATGCAGGAGACCTGGGTTCAATCCTTGTGTTGGGAAGATCCCCTGGAGGAAATGGCAACCCACCCCAGTATTCTTGGGTTGGGAAGATCCCCTGGAGAAGGAAATGTCAACCCACCCCAGTATTCTTGCCTGGAAAATCCCATGGACTGAGGAACCTGGTAGGTTATATAGTCCATGGGGTCACAAAGAGTGGGACAGGACTGAGCGACTTCACTTTCACTTTCTGTCTTTAGGAGGTACTTGCCCCACCCACAGGCCATTCTGTGCACCCTCCAGGCACAGAGGTCCTTTTCCCCTGCTTAAAATTCTCAGACATCTTCCCAGCCAACCTAGAGAGACAGGAAGGCCTCTGCAGGGCCTGGGGGGCTGACACAACCGGCCTGCTTCTCTCTCTGGCTTCCCTCTTGCCATTTCTCCCTAAGGCTGTGCTGCAACCTCTCTAGTCTTGAAACTCTCTGCCATAGCCCCTGGCATGGCTGCCAGCTTCTTGTCAGTCATGTCTCTGCTCAGCTGGCATCTCCATAAGGCTTTCCTCCATCAACCAGTTCTTGACACAGCATCGTTTCACTTTCTTTGTACATTTGTCATCATTGGAAAGCATCTTGTTCATTTCTTTGTCACTCACCCCCCACCCACCAATGTAAGCCATGAGGGTGTGTTCCCTGCACATGGTGAATGAATGGGCTCTGCTTGGGCATTTCTGGAAGCTTTCTAAAGCCCTGTGGCTCTGCTTGGCTCGAGTGTCACTTACACATTCCCTTTTCCCACCACACTACACCTTGGTAGATGCAGCTACTCAAGATCAAGTAAGGGCAATGGTGACTCCAAGACTTGCTTTTATTAATTAATTAATTTACTTATTTGCATGGGGTCCTTAGTTTTGAGATGCAAACTCTTAGTTGCAGCATGTGGGATCTTGTTTCCCAGCCAGGGGTGGAACCTGGGCCCCCTACATTGGGAAAGTGGAGTCTTAGCCACTGAATCACTGGGGGAGTCCTTCCAAGGCTTGCTTTACAGTCAATGGCAGTTTTGGAGCAGCACACAGAGATAACTGTCCCTATAGCTTCTGGCTGCTCAGACTCACTGCCCCTCAAGTGTCTGAGGGCAGAGCCAAAATTCCTTTCTCCATCTCCAGCCATACCACCTGAGACCAAAGCATCATATGGGGCTGGTTAGGAGTTTAAGTCAAGTCTCTGCTTGACTTGGCATGAGCGGAAATCCTCCTCTCTACCACTTTTTTCATGAGTCTTGGAGTTGCTCAGTCTCTATGTGCAATAGATTCTTTTTCTGAAAAATAGATATAATAATTATATCCACTTCATAGAATCATAGTGAGGATTAAATGAGATAATATATAAAGCCTGTGAAGCAGTAAGTATTGACTAGTGCAAAGGATATCACTATTTGCATTTGAAATGAGAATCTTAAATCAAGCAATATAATTTAGTAGATATATTCCTACTATTTATTTATTGAGTTAAAATGTGGCTTTCAGAAATCTCAAGGTCTTAAGAATGTTAGAGTGCTTGGAAAGAGGCCTCTAAACCAGAATACTTAAAAATACGAAGCTCCCATTGGTAAAGACGCAAAGAATTTGAATCTTTTGTATGAAGGATACCTTGTTATCAGGGCCATGACATATCATGAATAAATGACATATCTAAAGGAAAAGCTAAAAGTTATGTCAACTAAACAGGTCTTTAAGCCTATGTGTCTGTTTTCTAACAAAGGTTTAACGAATAAAGAAATAAATGTGTGCTAACAACTGACTGCTTTTGTACTAAGACCTGGCTACAGGCTAAAAAACCACAGGCTTCACTGTCCCTTTTCAAAGGAAAAAAAGGCATTTTGAATGCTAACAGCATTAAGTGCTGGGTTTTGAATAGAAAGAAGGTGTAGGCTGAGCCAATCTCTTATTTAACTTGAGTAGTTCTTTAACATACTTTATATTCCATTTATATTATATTTATATTTTAGGTATGTTTATATAAACATCTTTTTGTTCAAAAGTTAGTACAAATGTGCTGTTTAGTAAACAATGAGAAATTCAACTTTTAACTTTATGATTAAGAATTCTAAACCTTATGTGGTAAGGGTGCAGTTACCTCACATTGTGAAGTAGAATACTATCATGACATGTTTTTTGAAAGTATTATGGAATTTTTCAAACCTACGTAAAAATAGAGGTAATATCATGAACCACTTGGCTTCAACAATTATCGACATGTTAGTTTATCTATTCGTTCCCCCTACTTTCTTTTTTAATTCAAATATTTTAAAGCAAATTACAGACATGTTTTACTTTACTTGTCCATATTTAAACTCCTTGATTTTCTCAAAGGTGTTTTTTTAGCAGTTGAGTTGTAGGAATCTAGACGCAAACAAAGTCCATACTATTAAGGAAAAAAAATCCCAAACTTGGACATAAGCAAACTGATGACTGTGTGTCCTTTCTGTGTAACACTGGCATGTTTTCCAACAGGCCCATGGAAGAATTATCTCATTCTCTAATGTAGCTTTACTGTGACTTGTTATTTTAGAGTATTTAGTGTACTCTTTTGGAGAAGGCAATGGAACCCCACACCAGTACTCTTGCCTGGAAAATCCCAAGGACGGAGGAGCCCGGTGGGCTGCAGTCCATGGGGTCACGAAGAGTCGGACATGACTGAGCGACTTCACTTTCACTTTTCACTTTTGTGCATTGGAGAAGGAAATGGCAACCCACTCCAGTGTTCTTGCCTGGAGAATCCCAGGGATGGGGTCGCACAGAGTCGGATACGACTGAAGTGACTTAGCAGCAGCAGCAGTGTACTCTTTAAGGGTAGATGTGAATTTATAGAAAAATAACACAGATGCAAATGCTTCTTGGTCAATAGCAATGTAAATGAATATTGGTCAGTAGCAATATAAAAGAGATATGTCCACTGCCCACATATATTGAGTCTTTTGAATTCTTTTTGCAATATTCTTTTTTACTGGTTCCCTTTATCCTGGGAACAGGAACGATTGGTAAATGCTCACTTGATATGTGTATAGGACCATTATTTTTAAGTTTCTAAAAATTATACTTTGACAATACAATGTGTTTTATTATTATGTCTTTTAATCCTCCTCTTATTTATAGCAATCCACCCTCCCTTTGGCTTCATACTATTAATTTGTTGAAGAAACCAGTTCGTTTATACTGTAAAATGTTCCAGTCTGGATTTATCTGGATTCCTCACAATGTCCATTAACTTGTATGTCTGTCTTTTGTATTTCTTGTAGCTCATACTTAGATCTAGAGGCTCTATCAGATTTGGGTCCCATTTATTAAGGCAAGAAATAGTTCATAAGTGTTCCTGTACCTACTGCAGCACACGAGGAGGTGTGTGATCTCCACCCCATTTTGAATGATGGAAAGTTAGATGAAAGGTTCAGGTACTGTCATCCTCATCACTCCTTCCCCATGGGATTTGTTATGAATTTATTGTTTCTCAGCTCCAAAAATGCACCTGAGCCCTTTATTTTTCCTTTGCCAGCAGGCAGAGAGCTTGGGCACTAGAGGGCAGTAGAGAGTCATTGCAGGAAAAACGATTTCGGCTTCCTGTGTTACAGGTACCTTCTCAGAGTTTCTGGCTTGTCTTGCTTTTTTTTGACGAAGAGAAGATTCTTCATTCTAAAGCAGCCAAAGTTATCGGTTTTTATGTTGTGGACTCTGTGTCTGGTTTAATAAATTCTTTCCTGTCCTGAGATCACAAAAATAATCTCCAATATTATTTTATAAAATTTGAAAGTTTTGTCTTTCAAATTTAAGCCTTTAGTATATCTGGATTAATTCATTTTTATGTTTGGAGCAAGATATGGATTTGTTTCTCTCTTTCCCTGATGGTTATCTGATTACCTCAGAACCATCTATTACATAGCTCCTCATTGCCCCACTGCCAGCTCTAATCAAATGCTATTTATCTATTTAGTTATTCTCCAGTACTTATTGAGCACCTACTTTGTGCTAAGTCCTTTCATAGATGCTGGGGCTCCAGCAGAACAAGACAGACAAAAATTTCAGGGGAGCTAGCATTCAACTGGGGGGAGACAAATAATGGACGAAATATAAATTAAATATTTGTTTATGTTACGTGTTGATAAAGGAGCCCTATGGACAGTTCACACAGCAAGAGAAAACAAAATAGCCTGAAAGATGAAAAAAATGCTCAACCTAACTCATAATAAAGAAGAAGCAAATAAAATAACTGTACAAGGAATTTATTTATTTATTTTTTGCTCCTGTAAGAATGGCAAAAATTGAAAAGTTTGGCATATACTTGATGGGCAAGGCTGTGAAGAAACAAGGCCTCCTTTCATTTATTGCTTGTAGAATCCAACTTAGGACAAACATTTAGAAAAACAATTGGCAGTGCATGTCAAAACTGTAGATGTATATACCCTTAAACCCTGCAATTTCCACAGTTCCATTTCCTGGAATTCATTCTACAGATATGCTTGGATACATGCAAAACATATAATTTTGTTCATTGCAGTTTGTCTTAACAAAAGATTGGGAATTATCCATGCATCCATCAGTTTTAGACTGGCTAAAATTTTATGCACACACACACACATGCAGGAATACTACACAATGAAAAACTAATCACAATGCACTTCTCTGTGTACTTTTGGTAAGATCTCACAGATATATTGCAAGTGGAAAGAGTAAGGTGAAAAACTGTGTAGAATAGGTTAGCTTTGTATTTAAAAAACAAAAAAACAAAAACAGAGAGATGGGAACCAAGAATCTCTTGATATTTTCATAGCTGGAAAGCACACAAGAAACTAAAGAAGGTGGTTCCCTATTTGGGATTGAGGTTTGAACTGGACAGATGGTGGGCGGGATTGTAAGCAAGACCCTTCGGTGCCACCCTACTGTGGCAAAGAGTGCTTCTTCAGGCAAATAAACAAGGGAATGGTGTCAGCATAATGTGGAATCTGCATTGTGCCGCGTGTATCTGTCCCAATACATGAATGTTTTGTGCTGAGTAGCAGCAGCTGAATGCAAAGTTCCAAATGCAATAGAGCCGAACATGCTGAGGGAATATGATGCTTAGATGATTCCATTCACTCCACCTCCTTCCTCTCCACGTGGTTGAACACATTCTCTGTCTTGAAGTGCTTATGAAAT